CTCATTGTTGTTTTGATTTGCATCTCTCTAATATCAAGCTGCTCTTTGAAATCTTCTGTTCAGCTCTTTTATTTTGTCATTTCTTCCATTTGCTTTAGCTACTCTTTGATCAAGGGTAAGTTTCAGAGTTTCTTTTGACATCCATTTTGTTCTTTTTCTTCCTTTCCTGTCTTTTTAATGACATTCTGCTCTGTTCATGGATGATGTTCTTGATGTTATCCCCACAATTCTTCTGGTTTTGGTCACTGGTGTTCATTGCATTAAATCTATTCTTTAGATGGTCTCTAAATTCAGTGAGGGCTATATTCAAGGTCATATTTGGCTCTTGTGGACTTGTTTCAATTGTCTTGAACTTGAACTTGCAATATGAGCAGTTGATGGTCTGTTCCACAATCAGCTCCTGGCCTTGTTTTGGCTGAAGATATTGACCTTTTCCATTGCCTCGTCACAGATGTAGTCAATCTGATTTCTGTGTACTCCATTTGGTGAAGTCCACGTGTATAGCCATTGTTTGTGTTTTTGAAAAAAGGTATTTGCAATGAGTAAGTTGTTGATCTTGTCCAGAGATATTTCTATCGCCAAGGCCAAATTTTCCATCTACTGGTGATTCTTCTTTGTTTCCAGCTTTTGCATTCCAGTCATCAATAATAATCAATACATTTTGATTGCATGTTTGGTCAATTTCAGACTGTAGAAATTGGTAAAAATCTTCAATTTCCTCATCTTTTGCTTTGGTGGTTGGTGTGTAAACTTGAATAATAGTATTAACTGGTCTTCCTTATAGGCATATGGATATTATCCTATCACTGACAGCACTGTACTTCAGGATTGATCTGGAAACATTCTTTGTGATGATGAATGCCGTGCCATTCCTCTTCAATTTGTCATTCCCAGATCATATGGCTTTCTGACTCAAAATGGCCAAAACCAGTCCATTTCAGTTCACTAATGCCTAGGATATCAATCTTTATGCGTTCCAGTTCATTTTTGACAACTTCTAATTTTCCTAGACTCATACTTCATACATTCCATGCTCCAATTATTAATGGATGTTTGTGGCTGTTTCTCTTCAGTTCAAGTTGTGCCACACCAGCAAATGGAGGTCCTAAAAGCTTTACTTTACCCCTATCACTAAGGTTGGTTCTACTCTGATGAGGCAGTTCTTTCCCAGTTGTATTTTGAGTGCCTTTCGGTTTGAGGGGCTCATCTTTCAGCACTGTATCAGACAGTATTTCAGAGCTATTCATAAAGTTGTCCAGTCATGTATCAGACAGTGTTTCTCTGCTATTCATAAGGTTTTCAATGGCCAATTCTTTGAGAAGTGGATTCCCTCTTAATTCTTCTGAGTTTCTTAGTTTGAAAGCTCTGCTGAAACCTGTCCACCATGGGCAATCCTGCTGGCATTTCAAACACAGCCTCCAGCCTCATAACAACATGCATGCCACCACAGTACGACAAATTGACAGACAAATTTGCCTCCCTTAGCTGTTCAAACCTCTCTGCCCACTTCCTGGCCTCCCCCCTACCTGTCCAGCTGTCAATCCTGGCTTCCCACTCCCTGCCTGGGTGGGGGCTCTCCCTCCCCTTACCTGGATCTGTGGGCCCTGGCTTCCTGCTTCCTGCCTTGGGTGGGGATATACACCTAGTAATGGGATTGCTGGATCAAATGATATTTCTAATTCCAACAAAAAGATACTGAATTTTTAAAGTGATAGTGACATCAATGTTTTTAAAGAGTGTAGTCACATTGTAAACACCGTATCTTTATACACAATCAGTGCACGCACTATATGATTTTACCAACTGTGCAAACTACCCCCCATGTGTTATTTTCGTTAAGTGTGCTATGCCAATTTTTTTTTTTTTTTTTATGTGTTGTTAACTTCAATGGTAGCATAGTGCCTAAGGAACTTGACTGCTAACTAGAAGGCTGGTGGTTCAAACCCACTAGCCACTCCTCGGAAGGAGGATGGGGCAATCTACTTCCGTAGTGATACTGCCTCAGAAACCCAAGGAGGGGTCACTATGAATCGGGTCCGACTCGATGGCACATAACAACAACAACAACAACAACAACAACAACAACTTCAATTTCTACTTCTATTCACAAGTTTTTGAATGTGCAAGAAGCAAAGATCTTTTTAGAGACCTATGCATGCAAACATGATTAAAGTGACTTAGGATCACTGATCAAAGACACTGATGCTGTTGTTGTTGTTGTTATGTGCCGTCGAGTCGGCCCCGACTCATAGCGACCCCTCCTTGGGTTTCCGAGGCAGTATCACTATGGAAGTAGGATTGCCCAACCTTCCTTCCGAGGAGTGGCTGGTGGGTTTGAACCACCAGCCGTCTGGTTAGCAGGCAAGTGTCTTAGCCACTATGCTACCAGAGTATGAAATAAGCAGACCTAACATAAACGAATGGTTTCATTTAAGAAGATCTGTTAAGGTTTTCATAGTCAACTGCTGAGCTAATGTGCTATAATTACCAACTGAATTTAATGGAAACAAACACATTTTCGATGGCTATTTTCCGATTACCAGGGGACTACTAAATTTGATACATGACTTCTTGATCATACTTTACAACTTTATTATACAATTATGATCAAAAGTAACACTTTCAGACTATTTATATATATAAGCAGGATATTAAAGAAATGACTTCCTGTAACATGGTAGGTTGGGTGCATCAAGCCAAAATTCACTTCTGGTAATGTCATGAGACATGGTATATGCATGGGCGTGATATGCCAGAACTGTTTTACTTAATTTCATCATTTCCACGTGTTATTACTTGGCACATTACTTGCGAAAAATATGGTATGACATGTATTAGTCTGCAGAAGAATGTCATGATTACCTTTATCATTTCTTCCTCTCCTGCTGTTTTACTTTTTGCTTCTATATCGCCTGCTTCATTGCATCTAATAAAGCAGCTATTTGCAGCCAGTAAAGCCATTTTCCCCTAAATAAAACAAAATGACAACAACAAAGAAGAGCTATGAGAATAACTGCAAAAGAATTCCTAACTTTTTAGACTAAATCTTTTCCCTGATTCTAAAAGTAAATCAAGAAAAAGAATTAGGAGGAAACTAGGAAAATACAAAAATGTATAGATAAGAAAGACAAAATCACTTATATTATGATGTAAAAATAACCACAATAAATATTGTTAGTATATTCTTTAGTAAGAGTAAATTCTAAGTAAATAAAATTGTTTCCTTTGGCCTAAAAGATAACTGTCTTTGTTATCTAGTAATGTTATGATAGAAATGCCATAATTGGATAACTTTAACAAACAGAAATTTATTTTATCACAGTTTAGGAATCTAGATGTCTGAACTCAGGTGCCAGCTCTATAGGAAGGCTTTGTCTGTCAGGTCTGCAGGAAGGTCCTTGTCCCTTCTGAGCTTCTGCCCGTGGGTGATCTTCATGTGGCGTGGCATCCCTCTTCTCCCATCTCTACCCTCCTCACTTGCTTATCTCTTTTATATTTCAACAAAGACTGAGTGAGGACAGCCCTACACTAATCCTGTTTCATTAATATTACCAAGACAAAGCATTTTCAAATGGGATTATAACCACAGGCAAATTAGTTAGGATTTACAACATATCTTTTTTTGGAACACAATTCAGTCCGTAACATTTCACCCTTTGGCCTCCAAAAGTTCATGACCTTGCCTCATACAAAACACATTCACCCCAAATCATCCCAAAAGTTTTAAATCAACTTCAGGTCTAAAATATCATCATCTGAATCATCTAAATCAAATATAGTTGAGACTTTAGCTGCATTCCATCCTGGAGCAAATTCTTCGTGTGTGAGCCTATGAAATCTAGAATACAAGTTATCAGCTTCCAAATACAATGATGGAACAAGCAGACATTTCCATTACAAATGTGAGGAATTGGAGAGAAAGAAGGGATAACAGGCACCAAGCAAGTCCAAAACCCAGCAGACCAATTTTACATTAGCTCTCAAGGCTTGAAAATAAGCCCTCTGATCTTTGGGACTTTCTGGGCAAGGGCCTTGCCCTCCAGATTCTGGGTGTTGGCTGCACTCTGTATTCTGGGTGGAGGCCTGTCAGTCCCGGGCTTCAGTCCCACCTTTGTGGCCCAATGAGACAGCAACTTTGCTTCCTTGGCTTTGGGTAGCTACATTTTCCTTTTCCGTCTGAGAGGCGCCCTCAGCCCCACTCTTCTGCCCCTTACTTATGGCAGCCCTACTCCCTTAGCTTGGTGATGGCCTCATTCCCTTGGTAAACCTTAATGTCAGCCTTACACTATGGAACTGAGTAGGCAAATATCTGACTCTTTGAAATTCAGGAGGCTGTTGCCCCACTCTTAAGATCCAAGAAACCATGGATCTTTGAAACCGAGAAGGCCCTGCTTCCTATGCTCTTTTCAACAGTTCTGCTGATCTCCAAGCTACTCCAGGGAGGATCCTTTTCTTTTCCAGAAGAACAACAGATGTAGCTCCTTTGGCCTGTTTTCTGCCTGAAGAATTCAAAGAGGCAGACATCATTCTTTCCTTTCATTCTTTTTCTGTCTCTTTCAGTCTAAGCTGATGGGTTTTCTGCTGTGGCAGTTGGTTAGATCCAATAGTCACAGGCTTAATCTCCTTAACAAAAGACTGTCTGGCCAAGTCCCTGGTCAACCTTCTAGGACACATGTCCTTAGTTTGTACAACAGAATTTTCCAGATTTTTAAGTTCTGTTTTCATTTTGCACAATTCATTCTTTTTTAAATTGTGATTTGGGTGAAGATTTACAGAGCAAATTCTTTCCATGCAGCAGTTCACATATACTTTGTCTCATGTCGTTGACCACAGTTTACCACAATGCAACAACTCCCCTCCCACTTCCTTCCCATAGTTACCTCTTCCCAGTGTCCATCCCTCCATACATGCCTGCCCCCTGAGCTGTCTCCCTGTG